TTCGTACCTTTATAAGCTACTGTTTTTCCAATCTTATTGACCCCAAGATGATTTTTTTTCAAGGAAGAGTTATTAACATCATATAGAACATGAATGTTCTGAGGAATATGGCTTGGGAAATGCTACTTTGGGGGAATTCTAGAACTGGTAAAATATTTTAAGTTTTTATTTAAATTCCAGTTAGTTAATACACAGTGTTAAAGTAGTTCCAGGTGTACAATATAGTGATTCAGCACCTCCAGACATCACCTGATGCTCATCGCAACAAGTGCCTTCCTTAATCCCCATCACCTATTTCCCCCATTCTCCCACCCACCTCCCCTCTGGTAACCATCAGTATGTTCTCTACAGTTAACTGTTTCCTGGTTTGCTTCTCTCTCTCTTTTTCCCTTTGCTCATCTGTTTTGTTTCTTAAATGGTATGTATTTGTCTTTCTCTGACTGACTTATTTTACTTAGCATAATACTCTCTAGCTCCATCCATGTCGTTGCAAATGGTAAGATTTTGTAGAACTGGTAAACCATTAAGACAGCTCTAAGTTCTTCTCACTCTTACAGAAAGAGTTCTACCTTTATTCAAATATATAGTTATCCTTGGTGAAGTAAAACTTAAACTAGAAGCTCAGAGAACTGAGAAAATTGACGCAAAAAAGATCTCAGGCTCTTTTTTGTTTTTGAAGATAAATTCGTGAAGATAATTTTAAATGGACAATTTTCAGACTACTATGCCAATAAATACTATAGTACTTTCTTGATCATTGACATAGGAAGACATGGACACTGTACCTTCCTACTATATATTCTTTTTTAAAAGATTTTATTTATTCATTTGAGAGAGAGAGACAGAGCACAAGCAGGGGGAGAGGCAGAGGGAGAAGGAGAAGTAGACTCCCCGCTGAGCTGGGAGCCCGATGTGGGGCTTGATCCCAGGACCTGGAGATCATGACCTGAGCCACAGGCAGAGGCTTAACCATCTGAGCCACCCAGGTCCCCCCCCACTATATATTTTAATACATGTATAAATGCTAACTGTGTGATTCAAAATTGTGTGTAAACATAATACACTATACATATATAAAAATTTATATAATTTTTAAAAATCACACTATTACCAAATTCTCCCTTTTCTTGGTTTAAGTTACTGAAGTCAATTAGAAGTGGTAGAGGGGTGCCTGGGTGGCTTAGGCAGTTGAGTGTCTGACTTTTGGTTTTGGCTCAGGCCATGATCTCAGGGGCGTGGGATCGAGCCCTGTGACAAGTTTGGCTTTGGGCTCTGTGCTCAGCCCCGGATTTGCTTGGGATTCTTTCCCTCCCCTCTCCCTCCCCCTCTCCCTCCCCCTCTCCTTCTCCCCCTGCATGTGCTCTCTCTCTCAAATAAATAAATATATAAAATCTTAAAAAAAGAAGTGGTAGATTATTGGGGTGCCTTCCTGGCTCAGTCTATGTCTATGGAGCATGTGACTCTTGATTTCAGGGTCATGAGTTTGAGCCCCACACTGGGTGTAGAGGTTACTTAAAAATAAAATCTTAAAAAAAGTGGTAGAATACTACAGTTAGAATTAAAGGCAAGCAAGTGTCTAGCAATGGATAAGGGTCATATTTTACAATGTTTTTCTCTTCTCATTTCTCTCAGATCTAAGATAAAAGGAACCACTTCTTTAACAAGTAGAGATTGGGCCACCAAGAAGAAACAGTGAATACTTTTATTTAGTAAAAGGCTGCCTCTCTCTACTGATAAAAAAACAAAGACAGCTGGTAATGTAATTTTCAAAGTGTATGTGAAAGAGAGAAAGAGAGAGAGGGAGAAGGAGAGAGAGAGTGAGCATGTTTGCGGGGGCAGTTAGTGCTCATCTTTACTTCTCTTTGTAATTTCTAAGCCTCAGAAATCATCCCATTATTATTCCTAGTAACCTGGAGGTAAATTACTAGATATCTATCAATTCAAAATCATTTGATATGGCCTCAGTGGTATTTTTTTCAAACATATTTTTGTTTGTTTTAGGGGAAAAACTGTTTTGCTTTCACAGAACACAATTTAACAGCAAGTAAGTGACTTCAGAGATGCCCTGCCTCAAATGTGGTTTTGATGGGGCACCCAAATTCTGGAGATTTCTAGAGGTCCATGTGGCGGTACATATCAGAAGCCATACAAATGTAAACGTCCTTTAACAGAGTGGTTGTGTGTTTAGGCGTTTATCTTGTAGAAAGACTAGGAGATGTTTATAAAGGTGTACAAAGGATGTTAGTCACAAAGCTGGATATAATAGTGAAAGATTTGAAATGACTTTAATTCAGAATTGTGTTGGTAAATCTGGTACAGCCAGAGATGAGAATACTACCCAGCCATTTAAAAAATTACTCTGTAGAGGAATATTTAAACATAAAAATATTTTTATTACAGTTCTAAGGGAAAAAAGAGGTCATAAAATGGTAATGTGATTTTATTCCTGTTTGGTTTAAAAGAAGGGAATCTGAATTCACACACATACACACGCCCCCTGAGAGAAAGACAGAAAGTATATGAAGCACATTTTTTGTAGTGGTTATCTCTGAGTGGTGGGATTATGGATAATTTTTTTCTCTGTTTGTATTCTCTGCTTTCCAAAATTTCCTTGAGTGGCATATATTACCTCTGTAATTTTAAAAAAGGACAACACAAAGAAACAGTCTTCATTCAGTCTTTAGTCTCACTGTCCTATTTCTCAAATATCCCTTACACCAAATTGGTATTTTTTGATATCCATAAGCAAAGCTTCAAAGCATATATCAATATTCCACATGAGTAAGAAACTGGTGACTCCTGGGGCTGGCTCCATTTAAGCAGGTAAATGAGTGTTATTATGAGCATCCGTGTCTACTAGCCTGACCTTTCTGGAAGTGGGCACCGGTGTGATATTGTTTAAAAGGTGTAAACATGCTCCACCTGGCCCTTCCAAGTTCTTCCCTCACAACTCAGAGATTATGGCTGATGTTCTACCAACAGAGAGTCATTCCTCAGACTTATGGCTTTTCACCCTATTAAAATGCAAATAACCCAGGAGAAGTACACATTAAACTTTACCTGTCACCTGGGTTAAATAACATCATTTTCTGAAAAGAAGTTTTAATGGGGAAGACATGGGAATTTGGGTGGGGCAAGCAGAGAGAATAAAAGATGAATGAATACACCTGGCATCTGAGGAGTAACTAATATTCATAAGAGTGATATTTTTGTTTACGGCTTATGAGTCACTTAAAAATATGTTATCACATTTAATTTCAATGAGATCAAATAGAGTGGCAGTCACTGAGGTGACTTAAGCAGACCAGAGATTTGGACAAGTACAGAAAACAAAATCCTCAGGCCTCGTCATTATCTTAGAGGCATTCCTAGAAGCCACAATCCACTTGATTGCATACACTGCTTTCACCTGCCCCCCTTCTTTTGGCCCATCCTAAGCATGTCCAAATAACGACTGCATGCAGATAGTAAGGTTAGACCCCGTCAAGAATGTAAGACAATTTCTTACTTAATACACTGTCAATGTATAACAAAAAGGACTATCACCTCCTAGGAATTTTTTTCTAAAAGACAAGAGCCAATTGGAGATACATGAAAGCATCTAGTCAAATACTTTAAAATGCGAGCAAAGGGGTGCCTGGGTGGTGTGCAGTAGCGTTTGACCCTTGGTTTTGGCTCAGGTCACGATTGTAGGGTCATGGGATCAAGCCTCACGTCAGGCCCCACACTCGGCATGGAGTCTGTTTGAGATTTTCTCTCCCTCTCCCTCAGTTCGTCCCTACTGTGCACGTGTGCTCTTACTCTCTTCTCTCAAATAAATACATCTTAAAAAAAATAAAAAGTGAGTAAAGATCTTTTTCTTAACCTATGGGAAATGGAAAACAAAGGAAAGGATGAGAAAATGACAATAAAAGAAGGTGGCAGGAGAGTGAAGGGAAATCATACAGAATTACTTCCTGTCTATAAGATACATAAATCAAGTAAATGACAGTCCAGTGTAGTGGCTAGAACAGGCTCTGGAACCAAGCTGGGTTTGAATCCTGGCTGTCAGTCAATCTGTGTGTGACTGTGTGCCTCAATTTCCCCATCTTTAAAATGGGTATAATAACGTATCTACCTCAGAGGATGCTATGAGGATTAAATTAGTTCATATTTGTAACATTGTCAGGCACAAAGTAATTGCCTTAAAATGATGGTGAGGCCCTCATACATACTCATGTATGACAAGAAATATGCCAAAATGTTAGCACATGTTAACTCCATGTGGTAGAAATATGGCTTTTTAAATAGAAGAAACCCCCAAATCCACACTTTTGTAATCAAAGAGTGGTAGAAATTAATAACATCAATCAGAGGACAATAGGAGCTTGACAATTTAATATGTACTGTTACATTAATAGGATGTTCCAATAGTAAACCCTCCATTAACTAAGGCTGTTCCTTAGTGTTTATTATAAAATATGTAATACTTATCAATAATATATATTAATAATTAATGACACAAATATAATTAATAAAAGAGTAAAGCTGAAGTAAAAGAATGAAGAGTGATCAAGGATAAAAGAGCAGTAAGAATGGTTAGGGAGAGGAAATCCAATAGGCTGAGCTTCCACCTTGGAGGCAGGAAGTATTTAATGAATTACATAAAGAATTATAGAGTCCCAGTAACACGTATTGAATGATCCCATCATAATTAGATGGTATCATAATTATCAGTTTATGAAGTGAACTGCTATAAGCAGAACTAAAGATACAAAAATATTACCAAAGTTAGCACTTGAGAACACATTGCAGGAAACAATTATGTGTTAGCTGAAGACTGGACAAAATGATCTAATCGGACCTCCTCTCCCAATGCCCTGGATTCTCCCCCCACGTTGTATTTCAGGATGATTTATGCCTCTAGTGCACTTGGCAGAGATGATCATAATTCAACTCTTAATTCTTCACTACCAAGAAGCAATGAAGACATTAAGCAATGGAAGGTGACAGCAACTTACTGGAAAGGAAGTGCTGGGATGCTGGCCCAAAGTCCCTGTGGGCTTCGTGCAGCTGCCTGATGCGGTCCTCAACGGCCACCTGGGAGGAAGAGGAGAGAAATGATGTTCTCTCATCACATATAATGAGGAGCAATTAAAACAATGTACCCTTTTTGGTAAGATCTTTCGGGCCTCAAAAGCTGGAACACTAAAGCAACAATTTATAACCCTGGTTTTAATATCCGCTTACCATAGATGGCCTCCGAGACCCATTTTTATCAAATTGAGGCCAAACAAAAAAGATCTGCTTTCTTGATAATGTTATGAGATTTTTTTTTTCACACTCTACTCATTGGCAGACACAAATGAACTACTGCTCCAATGAGTACCATCAAAAATGCAAACTAAATCTTTCATGCAAAGGTTAGGGAGATTGTCATTCCCTGTTATATGTGATGGCTAAAGGAGCTCAGAAAGGGCATATATTTTGTCTTAATCTGTTGTTTTTGACTCATGTTTTTTGGAATCCTATTGATGATTGATGGATCACTGAGTGATAATTAACAAGTAACCAATAGTTGATTAATACTCAAATATCAAAGAAGTAGAGGCAAGGCTTAAATGTAAGGGAGAAAATGAGAAAAAAGAAAATTTCAGATTGCAATTTTTAGTAGACTTGAAAAGTATTGAAAAGTGTATCTTTAGGTGGCATGAAATAAAAAGTACCACTCTTTTTTTCCTATTAGGTTTTTCTGTAATACATTGACAGTGTCCTGATAGCTTAGTGAATTCCATTCTGGGTGGGGGAAAAAGGAAGAATTTTACAGGCGAAATGGTACACTTTGCCATCTGGCATTCTGCCAACTGGATATTAATGGTGGCCCCAGGCCTGTAGGCTCCATAAATCTGGATCTTTTTTTTTTTTTTTAAAGATTTTATTTATTTATTTGAGAGAGAATGAGAGACAGAGAGCATGAGAGGGAGGAAGGTCAGAGGGAGAAGCAGACTCCCTGCCGAGCAGGGAGCCCGATGCGGGACTCGATCCCAGGACTCCAGGATCATGACCTGAGCCGAAGGCAGTCGCCCAACCAACTGAGCCACCCAGGCGCCCCATAAATCTGGATCTTAATTTGGTTCTGAAAGGCCCATGCTAAACAACGGTTGGTCAGCTCTTGCCCAGAGCCAGCAGAGCTCGAGTGGGTTTGCTCCTATGGTGTGGGTAATTCCCAAGAGATAAAACAGGTATTAAATGGATCAGAAATCTGGCTCAGGTAGTCTGGTCTAAAGCTGACTCCGACCTTGCAGTATGGAGTCAAGGGCCTGACATAGATCGAGAACAATCTTCTTTTTTCATCTTCTTCTAGCCTTGCCCATCTTTGCTGGGACCAAATATTTTGCAAAGCATGTGGAGTTCCAAAAAAGGCAGGATTTGCTTCACTGTTACGCACACAAAAGCATGAAGAACACACCAAAACTCCCTTTCCAGTCGTATGACCCTGCATTACTGGCCAAACTCAACCTGCCCGTCCCGCCACATTGCATCCAATGTAACACTTGTCTGACTTGTTCTTGCTGCTCCTCCTCTCTAGAGTGCTCTTCTCTCCCTTCTCTCCCAGTTCAAGTCTTTTCTATGTTTATACGCCCCCCCTTCCAGTCCCCCAGGGTTAGAAGTGATTGCTTCCTCAACATCCTCACAGCACATAGTTTCTACTCGGAGCACTTCCATCGCACCATCTGTTTTAGTTGCAAGGACATGGGTATCTCCTACAATGCACTGTGGATTCCTTGATAGCCGGGACCATTTCTTGCTTACCTCTCTTCCCCTACGCTCCCCCTGGCAGGATGCTGTGAACCCTGCACACTGTAAGTGGTAACAAAGGTTTAATGACTAGTTGAGCAAACCAAAGCGTATGTGTGACTGACAGACATAGACAGACAGATCTGGGAGAATAAACCAGAATGTGTACTGACACTGACTGCATGCTGAATGCCCCTGGGTATATCGTTCTAACGTTAACTTTCCTTATCTGTAAAATGGGACAACAATATGACGTACCTCATAGAATTGTTGTGGGAAATAGCTAAGACATGTGAAGTGTTTGGCCTGCTTTCTTTCACATGGTGATTACTCAATGAATGTTAGCAACCACTGTTTTGTTGCTTTATGATTAACATATGGAGAGGAATAGGTTATTGCAGGCAAGGCAATACATGCGAAACAAAAAATGGCTAATATATATATTTAAGATTTATTTATTTGAGAGAGACAGAATGTGTGCATGAGTGGGAGGAGGGGCAGAGAGAGAGGGAGAGAATCTCAAGCAGACTCCCCGCTGACAGTGGAGCCCGATGAAGGGCTTGATCTGAGATAATGACCTGGGACGAAACCAAGAGTCAGATGCTCAACCGGCTGCGGCCCCCAGTCGCCCCCCAAAATGGTTAATATTTATTAAGTACTCCGTTAATGGCAATATGAATTAACTTATTTAAGTTTCACAGTAACTCAGTGGTAAGAAGCCATAGTATCTGCCCACTTCACTGATGTAGGAACTAAAACATGAGAGGTTAAAAAACAACAAAATTTGACTAACTTTAAATAGCAAATTGTCAGAGCCAGGATTCAAATTCATTCTGGCTCTTGGTCTTAACTGCTATTTTAAGGACTAAAGTTGAAAGGCAAGTATTTTATCCATATTTAATCTGCAGCTGGCCTTCCCATTTATCGAACGCAGAACAAATCTGGTGTCCACATCTATGAAAGTTTAGTCGTTGGTATATTTTATGACCTAATGCAAGGTCAGTTCCTGGTCATGAAGAAGGTGATGCCATAAGATTATAGAGAACACATGCAAATGAATGTTTGGAATATATAATTGTTTCTAAATGCAGAATGGGTCATTTCATGAACAAATTAATCAAGAGATGATTGTGAACGTTTGGGGGTGGGGAAGACAGGATGAGGAGGCCACTGGGGAGTGGACAGTAATCAGAGATCTTTTCATGTCCCCAGAAAGAAATCCCAAGGGGAACATGTGATAAAGGAGCGTGACCGTGTCATAGGCCCTGTCCCCTGGCAGTGATGTTGGTAGATTCAGAGCGACCAGGTGGAGGCAGCGTCTGAGTCCATCAGAGGCCACTCATCTCTGAAGGGCGCTTTCTTCTTATATAAGGAGACCTCCAGAGGTAGTTTCCAGTGTACACCCAAAAATGTCAAGAAATGAAAAGGAGACAGAAGTGAATTCCCATCCCTATAACTCAAAGTTAAGAAAACGCATGAGAGAGACTGAAATTAAAAATGTTATCACGAAATGAAATGAAAAATTCAGGCAACAGTCTTAACATAACTAAAGAATTAAGCATAAAATATTTCTTTTCACAGATTATCTTTGGATTGAATGCACAGGTGAATAAACAAAGACATCGTTTTCAGAAAGAGAAAAACTTCGAAGGCACAGTGTAGCTACCAAAGAACAAAGGCACTTTATTCTGTGAGCAATTAGGCAAGGAAATGAAATTTGATAAACTTCTGCAACAATAAGCGCCATGCATCGGACCTTTCTAACTGGCTGTGTTTTGAACCAATATCAAGTACCACATACAGACTAGGGAGCAAAAGCTACAAATGATACGCTAGCCCTTGCATTCTGGCATAATTCCTTCTTTACTCGGTTATTTCTCTGTTCGTCTGACAAGCAGTTGTTAAACCCGAAAGAGACACGCAAGGAGCAGACGCTAGAGTCTCTGGTCCTTGGCCACATAGAGGTTTGGAGGTGAGGAGGAGGGACAGGCCGAGGAAAGGCCTGGGGCAGAACACGGCTGTTGCTGAGGATGGTGAGGTACAGTGAGCTAGGTGTCTCGGAAGCAGAGATCCACAGCAAGGCATTCCAGACTCTGAGGCTCGAGATTTCCCTGGCAAGGCCAAGGGAACCAGGGAAGATTTCTGCGCAGGGACTCAGGATTTGAGAAAGCAGTGCAGGTTTAGGTAGTTGAGTCTGTCAGCGAGGCCTGAGACACAGATTCAAGAGGGACCTGGAGGCTGTTGTTATCACCTAGGTGTGGGGCGACAGGCGTTGCAATTAAGACTGTGTGGCCCGGAGTGGGAGAGCAGGTGCAGATGAGGAGGTATTTTGAAAGAAGGAAGAACTGATTAATTTTGGGGTTGGAGCTTCATTTTGGAAGAAGCAAACAGAACTCTTGTATTTCCAGTGTGGAAGACTGGGAGGATAAGGATATTGCTGATGGAAATTCCAAAGGAGCGGGGGATGGCATATGGCTGGATGAATTCATAGGGAACACGATGCATTTGACCTAACAGTGAGATTTTAACTGGAGGTGTTGTGTAGAGCCAGTTGGAGATGAGCAATTTGTCTCAGTCATTAAAGGAAGGCAAGGCAAGTGAGACTAAAAGGGGTAGGATGGAGCATTAGAAGGTGAGCAGGGTAGGAAGAGCCAAAGGAGTAGAACTAGAATTCTTCAAAGAGATAGGAAGAACTCACTTTCTTCTGAATTAACAGGCAATACCTCTGTTTCCTTTTTAAAAAAAAAAAAAAGATTTATTTTGGGGGGGGAGGGGTAGAGGGAAAGGGAGAGCGAATACTCAGACTCCCCACTGAGCATGAAGCCCGACATGGGGCTCGATCCCACGACCCCAAGATCATGGCCTGAGCTGAAATGAAGAGTTGGCTGCTTTACTGACTGAGCCCCCCCCAGGCGCCCTGACCTCTGTTTCCTTTTATAAAAAGAAATACAAGTATAACATCTTTTGGGGAAGCACACATCCTGTTTCTACTATTAGATCATAGATCACGGAAGCTTAGAACTGGAAGAATCCTTATCTACTGATACACAAGGGTCTATTCTTTAGAACTATCCCAGATGGGCAAAAAACTACCATCTGCTCCTTGAGTACTCATAATCTAGTTTTCAGTATTCCTCAGTAAAGCATGTCAGAGAAAATTGAAAAAGGTTTTTTTTTGTTTTTTTTTTTTAATACGCTCCGTGAGGACAGGGACACATCTTTCTTTCCCTACTACAATCCCCGCTGACTAGCACAGTACCTGGCATATAGCAGATACTCTAATTATTAGTTGAATGAATTAA